AAAGGGAAGCATACAGAGTTACCCCGATGAAGAGATCTCATTTCCCGGAGAGAAATGAAACGCAATCACCGAAGGCGCCTCTTCCTCATGGCCCGGCAGAGAAGAAAATCTTTCGTCTCTAGCTCTTTTTCTTCTTTCCCTTTCTTCTCTTCTTTCTTTCCTAAAAGAGACAATTTCGAGGGGTAGGTTCATCGTATGAATGCTGATAATAATAAATCAGGGGGAAAAGGGCTTGAGGACAGAAGATCCTCGGGATCTTTTTTCCGCCAGTCCCCAAGGGATCATGTCATCNCTCATAACTGCATGAATGTGTCTTAAGGTCGCCAAGTGAATGTCTTTAATTATCTGATACGCATAAATATATATAAATGAGAAATTATTAAGCAATGACCTGGGTGGCTTTTTCGCATTTTCATCTCGGGTGGCTTTTTTCCGCTTTTGTCAATTCTGGGGGTCTTTTTTCCGGGTGGCTTTTTTCCGAACCCCTTTACGGGACAGTTTGTGACAGAATGCATCTAAATGGCTGGAATCCCAAGAAATCTCTCAGAACAGTCAGAATCCCCATCTGAAATAGAAACTAATCCCAGAGTTGACAGGTTTGACAGCTGAATCAAACTATCCCTAGACACTTGTCATCTCGCTGATTAATATGACATCTCAGAAAAGGCTGTCGTCGAAATAGAGCTTGTATTCAGTGCTTGGGCCCGTTGGCACGTTACGTGTGAAAAGTAACAAGTCTTGCAAGTGTTCCATCCTTACAGTAATTACGAGTATAATACTTTCTCGCCAACAGTAGCTAGTTATGAGTACAAGTTACTTTTCGAGTTGCTTTTCACGAGCTATGTCGACTTGGAACGGTCTTTCGTTCTAACGATATTCCTGTGAATGACGCGGAAATTTCGTATTGCAACCGACATTCGATATAACGAACTCAAAGGAACAGACGAAAAAACTTCGTAAAGGAAAACTCGTTAAAGGGGGTTCTCCACTTGAAAAAAAAAAAGTCAAAGGCCTCTTGAACAAAATGTAATTTATCGCCAAAAGGGATGCTGTTGTCCTTTTATGAAAAAATGTCACAGTTTGAGGGCTTGTCATATTGCAAAAATACAGCTTCCAAGATGTGCGTATGTACCTAAATGGTCGTGCACACCACGGTGTGTCTTTTATATAGGAGTAATAAAAATCGGACGAGTCATGGACGCCGTCTATTCATTGGAAACAGTTTAAGATGGTTTGTCAGGCGTGCTCTTTCCCGGACGATTCTTTCGGCTGTGGCTTGCAGAATTCTCGATGTTTGAAAATGTTCAGGCTCACAGTCGGCCTTTGAAAGATAGCCGAAGGTAGTCGAAGGCCTCGATCGCCCGACCGAGCAGAGTTCTGGACTCGGCCTGATCCTCATCCTTAAATTCCTGAGAAGATTAAGATTGACTGACGTCGCTCCCTTACTCCCCGCGGCCAAGTCAATAAGTGGGTGGAACAGGCTAAATTTAGGTATGAGATGAGATTTTCCTGGAACGTGCGAGAGAGAGTAGCTCTGACACCTGCCACAGATTTAAACTTCTTAATACAGAACAGTTTTGTTCCTTGGGACGAAAAAATCACTTCGTAAAGCAAACAATTCCTAATAAAGAACTTTTCTATAGAAAAAAAAAAACTTTTGCATGTGCCGAGCGCATGGAATCCTTATGTCTTTTCCAAGTTTGGTGTCTGCGAGAGTACTCTCGAGAAATTCCATTCTGTATTTTAATGCGAGGGTGCAACGATCTTTGGCTGAACGTCTCCCCAGGAGTTTCGAGCATAATTGCACTCGCATGATTTGAGTTCACTCTCAAAGTTGGCCTATGAAACTGTTAGGAGTGAAAATGCCCCACTTAAACTAATTAGCCTCACCACAGCGGCACTAGCTGGTTTGGGTGTATCTCATTTCATCAACTGCGGTTTCCTTATTCTGTGTGATCTCAGTGATGACAAATATAAAATACAGCGCTCGTCGCTTTCACCCGAAGTTGAGTGTCATAACGTAAGTAACGCCGCTTGTTTTCCTTGGAAAAGGAACTAATTACCGTTTCCTTTACTAGTCCCGACAAAGTAACTCGTTATCACTGAAATTACCGTAGAAAATGATTTTGCTGTAACGCGTTACGTACTTCGTTATCTCCCAACATCTCTTATATCCCAGGGAGGCCAGGCGAGTGGAGCTGCATGGAGACCAGCGGATACACTTGTCTTTCCGGAGAAAACAGTAATATGGCATCTGTGTTAGAATTAAGGGTGTAGATCAGAGGTGTGGAACTTTATCGGCAGAGGGCCGCATGGAAACGTGAGACTCTTGACGCGGGCCACAGAATGCAAAAGAAAAGGCTCCCCTCTTTTGCCCTCAGGGCATACGAGGGTATGAGGTCGCGCTGATTGGTTGATGATCCTTACCTCCTCCACACCCCTAGGAAATTTCAACGTCCAAAAATAGCCTTTGGCATTTGACCTTTTTCCTCTTAACATGTAGCACCGCCCGCGTGAGGAAAAATTAGAAGGAAGTGAGAGGACTCAGTCTATTTCTTGTTACTAAGGGATGACCAAAAAAGTGATGGGCCTTCGGCCGCAAAGAAACTTATCTGTTATCCTATTATGCATTACCGGACCGCAAGAAGCAGGTCCACGGGCCACATGCGGCTCGCAGGCCGCAGGAGGCACATCCACATAGAGATCGACATCTTCGACACGAAGAGTGTCTCAATCGCTTCGTATTCACTTTTCTTCTTCCACTGCTCGAATTCCCAGCGCCTGGAATACATACGATGAAGAGGTTTTGCTTGCTGGCTTTCCGCTATCTCGTCCACGTCTCGCATGCGATGCAGAAGAGCGGCGGATACGATTCCAGCTCTGAGCGCCAATAAGCCTCTCTCATGAAAAAAGCGGGCAGAAGTAGTTGCAGGGTAATCCTCTCAGCCGCCACAGACGAGGTTTATTCGACGGGATGCCCATCGAGGTCTGAAACGGGATTCCACTCGATGAGATCAGATGGCAGGCGAAGTAAATACATAGCATCTCGCTATTATTTTCGGTTCCGCGCCTCGAACTTCTCGGTGCTCCTTGGTCTTGGACCGATGAAAATGATATTTTCCTGTCCATCTTTTCCCGAAAGTGATACGAGAGACCGTGTGACTGTTACCAATCGCAGGATGTTGTCGTTTCGACACGGTGCATCTTTTCGGGCTTCTCTGTTCCCGATGGAGTCCGAGAATAGCACGGAAGGTTTCTTCTCGAAAAAAGGAGCGGCGTCAGGAGAGCGTTTGCAGAGTGTCGATTTAGTATCGTCGGCGTCGAAGGTTCAAGTCCAGAGTTGCACGAATATCTTCCGCCGATGCAGTTGTGTTTTTGCAGCGTTCGGAATGTGTCATCCGAGTGTTTCTGCGTTCAGTCTCGTACCATGGCACGAAACGAAAATTGGCGTCAGGTTAAAATGTCGCTTTTAGAAGCACTAAAACACCGTTAACGCGAGCGTTGGGGAAGTGCTATCATAAAGTTCGTTTATGATACTTCTTTTGCTTCTATAACATTGAACTTGAAGGACGGCATGACGTTAAAAAGGGACACCAGGCAAGTCATCCGGCAGTTATTCAAACAAACTTGGCTCCCATATCGCCCCTTCGTGCTCCTTGGCGCCTGATGCTTTTCTTACGGTACTTGATCATCTTCCGCTTAACGACTTAGGCAAAATACTGGAATCCCTTAACATATTCGTGATTCCGGACGGTTCCGACCAGAGGGTAGAGGAAGAACGTATGTCAGGGCCGGATTAAGAAGTTGCGAGGCCCGAGGTAAGTGGGTTCTTGAAGCTACCTCCCCCCCTCCCCCCCCCCCCCCCCCCCCCCCCCTTTCCC